CCCCCCCCCCGTTACAGCTGCTTCGGTGCTTAATCCTGGGCTCTGCTTGTCCTTGACGCGACTGCGTGAAAAGCGACCACTGAGAAGCTTCGTGGATGCGTGGAAGGGTGCACGGTGTTGTGTGGGACGCGCAGAGTGGTGCTTTGGTGACAAGGGTGTGTGTGTGTGTGTGTGTGTGTGTGTGTGTGTGTGTGTGTTTGGCGTTAGGGAGCGCTGGATGCGGTGTGAAGCAGCAGAGCAGCACGGCTGACTGGTGGGCTGTAACCTACCTACATATGCACATGTAGGTTGCGTGCAACCTGTCGAAGCAGAGGGAGGATGATGTCAGGTAACCGGCCTCAGCTTCCCCTAGTGGCCCGGTGTCATTCTCACACAGCCCCAGTTATACAGGTCACACCTGGCAATAACACCAGGACTGGTACTGCAGTAGGAATTATTGGGTTAAACCCTGATACCCCCAAACTGCTGCCTTTATTGTGCAACGCAGTAAATAGCAACCTGGTCACTAGGGTGGCATATACTGAGAAAAGCTAGCACCAACACCTCTGTGTCTGTGTTGTAATTTATTAGCCCTTTGTCCTCAGCCAATAAAAAAATCTTTGTAAACAAACAATACTGTTTGCAGGGCTTCTGAACTTTTAGCCAACACAAAAGATAAATATCGACAGTTGACAGATGTTCTCGTTTTTGCGGATGTGTATATATATCATTATTCCAGGCCTCTTTTACCTCCATGACTCCATGTATGACTTTGGAGAAACATACTGACACCTGATATCACTATGATACTACGTCCAGCAGCTGCTCAGCTTAGCTTAGCATAAAACAGGCAAACAGTGGACATGGTTAGTCTGGCAATCAAGTCAGACTAAGCTCTTCTCTAAAGCTTACCAGATAACGTTTTATCACATTTGTTTTCACTGTGTAAAAAGAAAGTGCCAAGACTACACTGTTATAATGGTGAATGTAGGGGTGGGCAATAGATCGAATGTACTCGATGTGTTCGTTTGTCCACGTACAATGGTTAAAATGGCTTTATCGTAACCATCGAGTATAAATTGCGATGGCAATATTAAGCTGTCTGCATGTAATCAACTTTGGGGGATTTTTTTCTCCCACATGCTGCAAATTGGAAAGTTTTCTACCTGCCCTGAGCAGGCGCCGCACAGTTTCAATTACAAAAAATAATTCAAGTTAATTTTTGTGAAATTAAGATCAGCAGTGTCATAAATAACCCAAACATTGAAATTCATTTAACTGAGTTTCACTCCTTGTTCTCATTATTTGCATTGAGTCTGTCCCACCAGCTCTCCAGGTTAAGATAAATTTCACATCTGGCATCATGTAAGTCAGTTTGTCTCAGAGTGACAGAATTTTATCACTAGATACATGCGTGTCTGTCATTTTTTTGTAACTGCGAAGACTTTTTCACAAGATACTACACTATGATGCTAACTTACACATGTTCACTTCAGGCAAACTTTAAGTGGACTTGAAAAGCCAGTAATGACTATTTGTCCGCACTCTCTTACGCTGCTACATGACCGAGCACAAACCCTACCCTACAGGAAACACTGAACTGAGGAGCAGCATCGCATCCCAGTATAGAAGTTTTTCATGCAACATTATGTGGACTTTACACAAGAGCTTTCCACCATATAGGATGTGATACAACTACTAGTTACAAGGGGAAATGTGTATCTGATTGGAGAGTGGTTCCTGACGGTCACCAGTTGTCGCTGGAGTGTCTGTACCAAAAACCTCCTTATGATTTATATATGATAGCTACCGCTTGACTATTATTGTTTGCAGACAAACTGATGTCTTCCATTCATATGGAAGGTTGCTGGGGCAGCTTTACTTTGGATGGAAGACATGTATTTGTCTGCAAACATTAATAGGCAATCACAGATTCCCAGCATGTTCCAGTGACTGTACCAGTCTGCCAGCAACCCAAAGCAGTTGCAGAGAGGTGTTTGCCTCACTGACAGTGGTTGCCAGATGGTTGTGGATCAGTCTGTAGGCCTGCATGACTCTGGGACTTTGTGCACTCACTCTACATTGTCACCATGATTGTCACTTATCCAAAATGGCGGGCAAGTTAATGACACAGTTAGCAGTCACATGATTCCTCAGTGACATAAATAAGCAACTTCTGTAGACACAGATGATAAAATATGGAACTTGAAATTAATATAAGAAGTCCCCTTTATTAGTTATTGCCTGGAGATTCTTAATGTCTCAGTTTCTGGTGTATTAACATGAAATCTTAGGTAAACAGTGGTGTTACCAACTGCATTAATGAAGGTCCAGCTTTATTTAGGTGCAGAACTTTAATTAGTATGGTTAACACCTATGTTTAATGTCAAATGGATGTTATGAAATAGGTCTTTAGCCTGGCACAAAGTTCTTCTTAAAAGGACAATTCTCATTTTTCCAACTCCGCATCCAGGCTTTGTGCTGAGCTAAGCACATCAGCTGTTGGCTACATACTACACAAATATGAGAAAGGTTTAAACCTTCTCATGTCACCATTGGCCAGAAGGCAAATGGATCAAACCAACAAGTCACTTACAAAGTCTACGACACAATGGCTTTCTGAAAAAAGCCCATCCCACCACGTCACCATGTAAATGGTGCAGTGCAGCTTCATTTCCAGTGCAGAGCTTGTATTAATTTGAGTTGAAGACAGACTCATCAGCACAAAAGTGCAGGTGGTCTGCCGAGTCATGATGCAAGGTGCTAACAGCCTTAGCATTCCACACAACAACTTTCTCACTGTGCTCATCTAAAAACAGTGAAACCCAGTGTGCTTCTGATTGAGGGTGTGCCTTGTGCTGGTACATTTACTGTATTTTAACATAACCTCTTGATCACCTCTCTGCATGCTAAAGCTGGAGAGTAGCACAAGCACACACCATTAGCTTGGTGCTGTTATCCAACGAGCCTCAAGCTGCGTGTGCCCGGATTTCATGTGTCAGTGGAAAACATGACTGCTACATCACACTTAAAGTGGAAGCACCTCCTCCCTCAGTGGGACTGTTTTCTGATACTCCAGCAGTCGTTTTACTCTATCAGCATGTCTTTACAGTCCAACTGCTGCCTGATTTATGAGGTTCAGCATTCAAGGGAGCTCAGTCAACACTGCATGGAAATGACCACAGGTTTTATTTTTATCATGATTTAGATGAGGAATCTGCCTGCATATTATTAATGTGTTTTTGTCATTATATTGCTGTATATAACAACAATTCATAGTACTATATTTTAACAACTTAACATGAGCTAGACCCACGCATCATTTAATAATAATTGTGTGGCCAAAGCTTCCTGTATGCACAGAGACAAAAAGAGCATAAAAGAACAAAAAGACATGGACGATCATCACAAAGAGGCTCATACAAACTATTCAAGCCTATACGACTATGGAGACACAAAATGAGCACAAAGGATCAATAAAACTGCACAAAGACTCAAAACTAACGCAAACTAATACAAATGAAGCCGACAAGCCATGAAGACCATAAAGATTCAAGATGGAAATTTTTCTAAAACATTTTTAGAGGGAGCAGAAATCAAAGCTTCTTAAGATTTTTTTTAACACTTAGAGAAACCTTTCCCTGTCAAACAGCTTCTTTGGAGTTTACTCTGACAACAGAGGCTAGTTTAATTTCCATGTTCTTAGCTGTTTTTATGAAGCAATGCTTTTTAATAAAAATCTCTTAAGGGAACAAGCAGCTTCTTATTTCACATTAGCTAGCAAGCTAATTGTGCTAACCTCAGTTCTCCAAGTAAACTGACAAAACAAGATTGCATCTGTCTGAGTTTTTGACGTTTCCAGTTAATTTATTTTTAAAAGAAGTGCATAAAGTAAAAGAGTTACATCCTTAAAATCACGCTAAAAGACTGAAACTAGCTCTCTGTCACCAGGAAAAATGTCTTCCTTTCTCGAGCCATGAAGAATTAGCTTACATTTCAGTGTAAAAAAAAAATAAATTAAATCTTAAGACCTTCACAGACCTGACACATAAAATTTGTATAAATATTTTGTGCATTACATTTTTTTCTGCTGACTCACCTGTTCTTTATCAGCCATTTACACTGAACACATAACTTTAAAGGACCAATTTGCAGTATTTGCAGCTCAATAAACAGATCTGACCAATCAGACCACTGCATTTGGCAACAAGTGCACTCTGAGTTGAAAATGGTCACCAGTACTGAATATGCAATAATCGAAGATACTATTGTACCTGACACATACACACAGCTAGATGCCGATAAAGCTTCAACTCCTGGAAACCTTGAAATTCTCCCTGCTGCTGTCTTCTCCTGAGAATCGTTTGAACCCAGAATCTTTTCTTTCTTTCTTTTCTTGTTTAGAAGCATCATCATCTTTTTACAGTGCATGTTTTTATTCACAAACATCTAATGCTTCCAGTGTATATATATGTTGGGCCTCAAATTCACATCAGAAAAATTTTAAACTTTTCACAATTTTTTGACTTTAGTTTTACAAGATAAAAGGAAATCAATGATCGTGCTCTAATACTGAAAACATTCTGCTGTATTACATTCTAATCATTACTGTGCATTCATTATCTTCTACCTCTTTGTTGTAGCACTGAGCAAAGCTTATCATGTTTCCCTTTACCAGACTTAGTAATGTATCACATTTCCCCAAGTGTGTGTGTGTGTGTGTGTGTGTGTGTGTGTGTGTGTGTGTGATAGCAT